GTAGTATCGTAGACAACTAAGAGTAGTGGCTGGGTTTCTAAGTAATAAAATTCAACACCTTTGTGAAGCCACAAAGTTCACAGAATGACTTTACATCAAAAGTGCATAAATGAAGTTGAATATGTAATGAACAAAATACTATTCTAATGTAAACTCTCTCAAATGAGTCTTAACCACAATTTTTAGAAAACGTTAGCTGGCTTCGACACACACCTGCAGCCTAATACAGCATACCACCGCCTACACAAGGCAGAAGCACAGTGAAAATGTTCATTACACATCACCATGATTCTGTTGTGAAATGTACTTTATCACAATTTACATTTTATTTAACAGCATGGCGGAGAAGTCACGCATCAAACTCAACAAACTCCAAAAAATAGTCAAAAATACAAACTCATTATTTTTTACTCTGTAAGCTCAGTCAGAGTCGCTTCTGCTGACAATGGTAACTTCTTGTTTGCTTTGTCACCATTTAGCTGGATGTACTTCCTCCATTAACGCAAAATACACACCTGCGCGGTCCCGACGTTTCGCGGTTATTTTTGTCGTCCTTACCTGCGTGTCTCAGGTCTCGCGTGAACTTTATAATCTCGCGGTATCTGAACTCGCAGTACTCTTAAAGTGACAGTGGTGCTTTTCGTGCTAAATGCACGCTAAACATTTATAGTTAACTTTGACCCTTATAGGAACAGTGCAGGGATGAGAAATATCCTTAAAACGTACTTTAAACATTAGAACAAAACGTTTTCTTTAGAATATTTTCAGAACTTGAAGGTTATGTTTATCAGTTTTGTGGTCACCTGGCTTCAAAGTAAATACCTTTACTTTTTTCTGCATATTTTATTTATAAGTTACAGAAATAATAATAATAATAATAATAATAAATAGAAAATATGAAGAAATAGCAATAATAACAATTATAAAAAATAATAAAAAAAATAAAAAACAAAACTTATAGGGATCATATAGCATTAGTCCAGAGATAAAAACACAGATACCTTTACTTTTTTTTTAGTTAAGAATATTTCTCTACTATTTAAAATGGATGTGTTGTTGTAGTGATGTGTCTACTTAAGTAAAAGATCAGATCTACTTACGCCACTGGGGTTTTTGCCTCTTCCCCAATATGAGAAAGGTGGATGGTTTATGGTGTTTGAAGCAAAAAGAGATTCAAATTCTAATTCTAAAAGAAAATCGAACATCAGATCAAAATCCACAAACCTCACTGTGAACAAATAATATTTTGCAGAAGAAACGAACGCTTAAACGCTTTACCCATCAGTGTAATACTGACATATTGTGTTTTCTGCTGGTACACGGTGACACAGCACAGTAGATTGCATGTGTTGGCACCACTTTATCAGCATCAGGGGACTGAATCAGATAGTCAGACAGTCCAGTATCACCGTGGCAGAGCGAGCTCAGCCAGACTCATCTGAAATCTAATACACGCAAAGCTGCGTGCTGCCTCATGCAGACACAAAATGTAATTGTGCAGACTATCTCATTAATTTGTCTCTACCCCTGCCATTACGGCTTATGGATGCAGTGATGGTTTTTGTGCTCATAAAGGCAGAAGTCAGATTTCATCTACAACAGAAAAAAAAAAGAGGAGAAAGGAGTGAGTAGCAACAAGGCTGTCTGTCAGTGTTCGGTGTGAGAGCAGTGCTGAGCCACCAAGGCCTGCAGGTAAAAACACTGAAAATGTACGTGAGTGCAGACAGAAGCTCTGAAAGTCAGCATGTCTTTAATTTGTTAATCTAAAGATATTGTTTCATAAACTGTATTCATGAAACTTCAAGGTGAACTCAGTTATGTAATTCCCAAGGTTTCAGAAATTCTGATGAAAGAACTGATAGAGTAATGGTAAAAGGTAACACCTAATGTACTCAGTACATAATACTATGGATAGCAATAAAACACTGTTTGGTTCCAACTGAATGTGGCTACTGTGGGGGAAAAATAAGACTGTGAGGGAACAAGGGAACAATAAGTGGGCAATTTAGCGTGAAAGAAAAACTATTTAAATAATACTACAAGTATTTATGTCAGTAAATTTTGTGGAAAAAATGGTGTCAACATTCTTTATGACTTCCTCTGTGGTGCTGTCATGGTGGAGAAGGAATTTAGGACCAATCGGACTCATCTAAACTACCTAAAACAAACTAAAAAATTACAGGGCTTCTGTATTAGACTGTATATGTTTTTACTTGATAAATTTCAATTTGACTGTAAAGTTTTGGTGTAACGGCTATGTTGCCTCTTCTGGATCTCCAGGAAACTGATGCCTCAGTCAGGAGGAAGAGAGAGCTGCAGCAGAGACCCTCAGAGGAACAGAACAGAGCAAAACTGAAAGCTAAGATCAGGATAAATCATCACCAGAGTGAAAAATCTAAATGAATATTAAGACATGGGGCAAAAAAATGACAGTGAGAGGAAGCAGCTATGGGTTGAAGTGAAGCGTATGAAGGTTGTGGAGGAAATCTCTCAGTAAACTACTCAGAAAGTGTTTCCGTGGTATTTACATTTGCAAGTGATCTCCGAGACACAAAAAAACCCCAACATCTCTCCTTTGTTATTTAGAAGTCCAGAGGAGGACATCTTTCACACACCTCCCCTGCATAGTTAGGCACAAGTTTGTTGTTTCTTATCTTTGGCACACAGTTTCAGGTCACCCTGAACTATTTCCCAGAAAGATCTGTCCCCTGAAAGCTGAGAGAACTCTGCAGGTAGAAGACAGTTTATATTGTCTCACCAAAAGCTGACTAAATGCATGTTTTAATTGCATTTGCCAGCATGAGATACAGATGATGGTGAATGAAAAAAAGCTGAATTATTAACACCTACTGTGGAGAAATATGGTGTCTCTGTGTCATTGCTGTGATTCGGGTCGATTTGTCCTCTCTGATCACTTTCATCCTATAATGTAACTTTTCTCATTTCTGCTCTCTTCCAGGGAGACAACACTGAATGTTTAAATAAAAATGACAGGAATCGTGTGTTTTAGCTTCGCAGTCACCAGATCTCAGCCCATTTGAACACACATGGAAGATTCTGGACCGACGTGTTGGTCAGCTCTCTTCACCAGCATCCTGAAAACACCAAATGAATGTTTTTAAAAAATGGTGTTCTATTCCTCCAAACACTCACTGAAGTGCTTTATGTTTCTTTTAATTTATTAGCTGTCTGCACTGATAAAGTCAAAGTATCGACTACTACTGATGTAAACAACGGGAGCAACTGTTGCACTGAGCCCAAGAACAATAAACGGCTTTCACAACAGATTTATAAGGAGGATGTAAAAAGTTAATGAAACTTTGTGTTTATCGTTTAGAGAGGCTCTTTTTATATCAGGTAATGATTGCTTTCCCTTCAAAGTGGTAAAAGTATTTTCTGTACACTTATAAGGAGCTCTAGTTTAATTGCAGATTAACACAAATGAGCGTCCACGTATCTCACCTCTTTAAACGCCTGCCTTGATGAGGATTATCCAGATAATAAAGTCGGCTGATATTGATGGCGGAGAATAAAATGAACATATCTGGACAAGCAGCATGCAAATGAACACCACAGTTATCTCACATAGCGTATATGGCTTGTGTGAAATAAATCTAAATATAAGAATAAAACTTGCTTTTAAGGTGAGACACTACAAAGACAAACATGTTTTCTCATACACTGGTCAATTTTGAGAGTTTATGTATATTTTGCTTCCGTAACGTGCACAAAATACACGTTTATTTTACTGCGCTTTTGTCTGTTGCACATTTATGCAAATTACAACACATTTACTGGAAAGGTGCATCATTTGCACATGTCTACATAAAATTACTGTTGTCCAAAAATATTGTGTAGATGTAAATAATCAAATGGAAAAGTTTTACGGTGATATCTATTAAGTGGAATTTTTACCTGTAAACAATGTTTTCCAATAAAGATCTATGGATTTTCATAAAACACATATTTTTTCTCTAAACTATTTTTTCTCCTACTCTGAGCCAGACATTTCCACTGCAGTAAAACTTACATACACTCAGCTGTCGTGTTTTATTCATATTTATATTTTTAAGATTTTTACAGAGAGGCTTGATCAAATATCAGTCACAGTCTGAATTATAGAACATTTTACTCATAACAACATGGTGAAAATTGATTTTTTTTTTCTCTCTCTCTCTTTTCTGGCTCTTAACAGCATTTTAGGATTAATATATAATAATCTAGAAACACTTTTGATCCTAATATGTCAGATTAATAAAAGGAAAAAGAAAAGAAAAAGAGAGAAGAAAAGTGGAGATTGCCTTTTTCAAATGTTAGATTTCTGTTGTGGAGATGTGCTAACTAATACCTCATCTGCAAAATCATACATACAATTTCAGAAAACTTGTTATATATACTTTGTTGTACAAAATGACTCCTAATTGTCCTATTTTAGGTCAACAAGACATAAGAACACAGTGTCTTGTGTTGTGTAACTTCAGTGTCGGGAACATGATACTGAACTCTCACATAGCAGATAAACAGCAACTCCTGTTTAAGCCAATAGATGGCAGCACAGGGTGACGCTGAGAACACTGTGAAGGATTGTCTGAAAGGTCACAACTTCATGTAACACTTTTCTCAGACACATAACATTATTAGGGGGGATTTGTAGGGTCCGAGCACACCAGTGCAAGGACCCTATTGCAATCGTTGTGATTATTATTCTTATCATTATTATTTATTATTATTATGATTATTATTAGGGCTGCAGGGTGGCGCAGTTGGTAGCACTGTTGCCTCGCAGCAAGAAGGTCGCCGGTTCGCGTCCCGGTGGGGTCACCGGAATCTTTCTGCGTGGAGTTTGCATGTTCTCTCCGTGCAGCGTGGGTTCTCTCCAGGTTCTCTGGCTTCCTCCCACAAGGTCCAAAAACATG